AACCTTAGGTGAGGAATGACTAAAAACATCCACTGAGCTTTCATTCAGCTGTAACAGTAATGCTTGAGCACAGGTTTATACTGTGCTCTGCTGTGTCTGAAATTATTTACCTGCAAAGGCTCAGACATTTGTCTGCTGTTCTGCCTCTGCCACGAATGATCCGATTCTTCTTTGCTGCTGGGAAGGATTTCTCCCAAACCAAAATCCCATCTTACCAGTGAAGAAATCAGTCTCAGGATGACAGGGTGTTAGGGCAGTCCCTTAAACACGGTGAGGTAGGAAGGGAAATGCCATGGAAACACACGTAACTGTTGTGCTGAGTAAGTCCTCTACCTAAACTGACACTTTAGCAATGTTTATTTTCCATTTTTATTTGGAAGACCCATGAAGGCATGAATGAGGATGATAAAATGCCATGCTTTGATATGCTGCGTTGGCTTCTGAGACTGTGGTGTAACCAGGCTATGGATGTGGTGAATGTTCAGCTCCTTCGTGATCCCACAGAGACTTGGACAGAGGCTGTGTCTGGGGTGCGTTTGTAGCAGGGGAGGAAGCACGGGGTGCCCAGTTATTTATTTATTTATTTATGGTAGAAAGGACTTACAGCCTTAGAATAGATATTTTCTTTTTTTTTTTTTAAGTTTCCATATGTTCAGTGTTGTTACAACTGTGTGTGTTTCTGAAAACTTGGGCAGAAGCATTTTAATCCTTAGTCCCCCTGGTTTTTGTCCCAGTGATAGAAAGAGAGCATTTGGTGGCTCTGTCGGTACTGGGTCAGGCAGTGACTGAACACTAAAACTAGCTGAGTAATGCTGCAGCGGGTATTTATTGGCTCTAGGGCTGACAGACCGCGCTGCTTGCTAAATACCATTGGTTCTGTTTGGTAACTTTACCTGATGAGTAATCTGCTCCAGCACAAGTGATTGAGCAGCGGGCCCATGATTGTGAAAGCCGTGTCTCTGCTTGCAGCGTTGGCCAAAGACAACTGGTCTGTCTGGCACGAGCGCTGCTCCGCAAGACGAGAATCTTGATCCTTGACGAAGCGACGGCAGCGATCGACCTCGAGACGGATGATCTCATCCAGATGACCATTAGGACCCAGTTTGAAGACTGCACAGTGCTGACAATAGCGCACAGGCTGAACACTATTATGGATTACACAAGGTAAAAAAATCTCTTAATGGTGCGTGGGTAGGGGCTCACTGGTTCACTGGGTATGTGAAGCAGCACTTAAAAGGGCCTGGTTCATCTCTGTAGTCATACTTCGTCAGGTAGTGTGTAAGGAATGATGTTTAAGCCATGTAATCCTAGAATATCCAGACCTGACTTTGCCTCTGTTGGTGCAAGAAGCAGGTTCTGTATTCACTAACAGAGCTGCACAAGAGACACTGCTCAGGTGCGTTAATGGCACTGTCAGCAAGCTTAGGGATCCTTTTTTAACCAGCAGCTGCTGTAACTTTCTCACTAGCACCATGTCACGTTAATTACTCTAAAATACATCACTGTACTTTAGGAGCTTTTATCTCCTTGGCTTTCTGGGTCTGTATTTTCAATTCCAGAGTTACCACTATGACACTTCTTTTTGTTTGCTTTTTTTCCCCTGAGAAATAGTGACCATCTTACACCTTTTGAAATCAAACAGCAGCTCATGTTTATCATCTGTTCTATTTCAATGTGTGAAAATAATGGAGCAGAACAAAGGCGAGGCACAGATTAGAGCAGTTTACTTTGAGATAAAAAGGGATATCGTGTTTCTTGTGAGGAATTCTCTGACGTATTTCCCGCCCCCCTGCTTTTGTTTTGCACAGGGTTCTTGTTCTAGACAAAGGGACGGTAGCCGAATTCGATACACCTGCAAGCCTTATAGAATCAAAAGGGATTTTCTATGGTATGGCCAAAGATGCTGGATTAGCATGAACAGAAGAGCCCTTGGGTTTTTTAGTTTGTTTGGTTGGTTTTTTTTAATGTTACTGACTTGCCACAAAAGTGACTTGTGAATGTACTGTAATTTACAAAACAGTTTTTGTAGTAGACTAAACTTGTGATATGTGAACAAAGTATTTTACAATTATAAGGATCAGAAAGTGAATTTTATATTTTTTAATATTTTCTATACACAAAGTATTTTATTATATGCTTTTTTCCCCCAAAGAATGCCAAACATTCTGCCAAGAAAATGTATGTATCGCAGGGCAACATGTACTGTATTCAAGTTTATAATTAGTAAATTATATTAATGGTACAAAATACACCTGTTTTGTGTGTTTTCTGCATAAGGATTCATTGGCTTTGAAGTGGAACGAGGCCCAGTTAAGCAGTGACTCAGCTGAAAAATAGAGAAATAATGTGTAATCTGAGTGGTTCCAACCTGTTCCTCTCAGTCTTTCCTCCCAGACAAGGGAGTTGAATGCCGTGGCTTCAAGGCCATGAGTTACCCCAGGACCTTCAGTATCCCTGCCCATGGCAACTTCAGCATTATAACATTCCTCTTCAGCAGAAGAATTATGAGTAGCATGTATTTAAAACTAAACCTACAGCTGGCTTAATATAAATCATTAATTATTCAATTTATATCAATTTAGCAGATTCCACATAAGCCCACAGAGACAGGGTTGGCACAGAAGTATTATAATTTTGCTGTATCTTTCTCACACATGAAGTCTCTGTAAGTCAGTCTCCACTTAAGCTGAACATGCTTGCTGAGCAGATGTGTATATAATTTATCTCTTTTAGCACTTAATCACCTGACATAATGTGTAATTTGTTTTGCAGAAATAAATATCTACATTATTACTGATAACCAAGCCTCCTCAGATAAAAGGAGTACTATGTTTAAACAGCACTTGCTGATAGAATCTGATATGTCTTCTGCTTTAGGTGTTCACTTCCTCCACCAACCTCCCTAGATACCTACCCAGCAAGAAAACAGTCCTATGTTTTTCCATAAGTAAAGTTCAGAAAAAACTTTGAGAAAACAAAAATAATAATTTATTAATTCTTACAAATAATACTTAAATAGAAACAAGCATTCATTTAACATTAATATTTCATACAGCAGAGCACAAAGTAACGAACTATTCACCATACACAGTAATGTAATGATTGATTATACACTGGTCAGTTAGGTGTGTTAATAGTATCTTCTATGTATAAACTGCATAAGGTATAAAAATATTCCTCTGAATGCATAGACAGCGATCAGCATCTGTGCGAGATAATCGGTGTAACACCACAGTCAGCAGCCTAGGAGCTGAGCTCCTCTCCAGTGGGTCTGACTGGTTAACCCTGGTACGTTCCTGCATTGAGCTGGCGTTCAGACAGCCGATGCCCCAATCCTGCCTGTTCTGTGTGATACGAGGAACAATTTTATAATTCCATTAAGTTAATACACCACCAGCAATTTGGTATAAAAAATAGATGAACTGGACTGCATTTGACATCCAATGCTTTTCTGAAGAGGGTATTTTGTTGTGACAGCATGCTCTGCTGTTGGCCATAGAGGCAGCTTCAGCCTGGAAATGGGGGTGTTTGCGTGGATCTGTACTTCCAGATGAGCACTGGACATCCCACTGAGGCAGACTGGGAGAGGGCTCCCTCTTGTGTGCTTAACACCTGCTGAAGCCACTTCCCTTTGCACCAAGTCCTACTCACCCTGAGAAAGAGAGCGCCTGGGTAAATTTGGGCACCAGTTCCTACTGTATGAGCTGTAACACAGGTGACTGCTCTGACTGCAGGGGAAGAACGAACAACTTTACCTGCCACAGCCTCTGAGGTGGCTCCTGCTCAGCGTGCTACTGCTATAAACCCCATTTTACAGGTCCACATACAATGCACAGCTACCTTGGGCTATACATTCTTAGACAAGACGATAAAATCCTTTGGTTGCTGTAGTTCCCAAATAAACTCAGGGGAGAAGAAGGCGGAAGACAAAGAAAATTCAGTCCAGCCTGGTGTGTTCTGTTTGCCTGCTGTATCTCTTTAGTTTGTTCATCTAATTCGTACTACGCACTTTACAGTTAGGCTACCAGAACAGAACTCTTCCTCAAATGCAGATGACTGAGTAAGTACTATAATCCTAAAAAAAATAGACAAAAACTAGCTCTTGAATACTTTTCAATCTATTTATTCCAGAATTTCATAGCAAAGTAGTCTAATTTTGAATTTTAAGTAAGAGGAACTGGAAAAGTGATTTTTCAGTAAGCAATGCAAGTAAACACCAGTCATCGGAAAAAAAAATACATTGCATAGGAACATCAAGATTTAATAACAGCCCAGAAAACCCTGGGCATTTCACTAGTTGTTGTTTGTTTTTACACAGGCAACTTTGACATTTCAAGACGCAATCTTTCTCAGGAATACACAGGTAAAAAGAAAATAAAATCACAATTTTTGTGCTTTTAAAAGGGGAAATTAAGCAGCATTGGAGAAATAAGTTTTCAATACAATAACAAAAATAGTATTTTTAAATTGCATACGTCAATACCATCTATTGACAACAATAAAAGGGATTTTGGCTGAGAGCATATTTATGATTTGGATAATCACTATCACTTCTTGTTTTCAACCTGAGAAATAGGGAAAAGTGTAAACAGGGATTAAGAAATCACAGGTAATAAGTCACTTGATAGTATTTAAACTAGACATAATTTTGTGCTTCTTCCACAGATTAAACTCATTCTGGTTTTTTCCTTCTAAACAAGGTAACGACTGAAAACACATGATGTAAAAAAGTGAACATTAGTGGTAATGGACTCGGTACAAATATCAAATGGGTTTCATGGCAGGTTCTTTAGCTTGAGTATCTCTGCTATTTTATAGCAAACAAATTATTAGAACAGTTTAAGGTAAGCCTTTCCCTGAGAGCTGCTAACTCCACAGTATTTCAGGATTTCTGTAAGGAGAAGTGTTGCATTAGCAGACAGTTCTACCAATACTTCCTTTGCATTAAGCTACTTTCGTACCAGACTCATTATTCTTGGATTAACTAGAGGCTGTAACTGTGCATAACCACTTTAGTTTATTTCAGGATTAACAAAATATCATTAGCCCTTATAGATACTGTATTTCAAATGTGATTTTAAATGATACAAATGTTTTCTTGTTTTCTTTAAACAATTAATATGTCAGTTCTGATGCCTTCTTGTTATAACCACTCCGTTCAGAAAGTGTTGGGACTCTGAAAAGTAAGTTTTTGTCGCTTACTGTTAGAACAAGCTCCAGTTCTTGGAAATCCTGTAGCCTTGCAACATCTTTGTCCTTTAAATAAATACAATAAGTTGTTAGGTGATAAACTGTCTCTTCAGTTTTGCAGAGGTAAGTGAAAATAATAGGCTCATACTAACACAAGGTATGTATTTATCCACAAGATAGGGCAATTTCTTTTACAGTAAACTGGAAAGCAGACATCCTCTTGCATCCTGTATTTATTCTGGGATGCTATTCAGCTGCTCACTTAAGTCTATTTTTAGAAGGAATGCAGTACTGACGAGGAGTGCAAGTCATCAGTGGAATTACACTTGTGAAGATTTACTGTGTGCCACCCCCAGCTCCTCGATTTCCACCCCCCTTGGTAATTCTTAGAAGCTCATGAATTGATTTTTGCCTCCACCCAAGCAGGTCCTGTGTACAGCTTCCTCCAGAGCTTCCACCAGCACATGGTAGCGCTGGCTCAGGCAGGGTCTCTGGGGTGCAAGGGCAGACACCCTCCCACAGCCACGCTGGAGCTCTGATCCCCTCTGCAGCACGACTCTGCTGCTACACAGCATTAAGCAGAATTAGTTTTCTGTCACCTCCAGAACAATAGGTGTCCTGCAGCCCTACCCAGAGCGCCTGAAGTAATTACAGCTGGAAATAAAAACAGTCCTTTCAAGAACAACCTAAGCTGGCAAGTGACAGGATTGTTTATGTCTTTTTTTTTAAACTCTTTTCACTTCTTGACTAACAAATAATTCATCTTATAGCCAGTGAAGATGCAGTACAGCGAAGTCTATTAATCTGGTACTAATCAGATTAGCTCCATGACTGACGCCAACAATGCGCTAGAGGGATTTGAGAGTGAAAGAAAGGTCAGTGGTGGATCAGTAGAATGGGTCAGCAGGTCCATTTTCTGTGTGCTGCACAGGTAAATGTCACTGAAGTGAGAAGACGGTGACATTCAGAGACCTGCATGCAGAATAATTCTGTGTTTTGAAATTACCCCATCCGGGCCTTGCTGAATGAGCAGAGCTCAGCTGAGTGCTGCAGGCCTTTTACATCCTGATGACAGGTCACGGTGGTGTGGTGTCACAATGAATTTAAGAATGTAGTAGAGAAATCAGGTATAAATTGGGGTCAGCACTAAATGTTTAGGAAAGGAAATTATCAAATTTGAGAACCTTTTTACCAAAAAAATCCAAAACAACTGCTGAGTGCTGGAAGTCGAAGGGAGGTTTTTGGTTTGGTTTGTTTTTTTCCTAACATGGGCCTATGCAGGTGACCAACAAATTATTCCTTTTCAATGGTAACCTAAAAATCTTTTTATAGGTTACTGCACTTCAAAAAATAAGAGTCCTTACCTTTCTTAACATTGTATTTGGTAATTTTCTGATCTTCTGCACATGCTCAGGGTTGACGCCCAGCTCACGGCAGCTCACTCGGAGCAGTTCCTTATAGGTCAGTTCTTGTCTGTCCAGTTCAATTTCAATGAAGTCATTTTCTTTAAGATTAGGGTTTTGAATTCTAACTTTAAGCACCAGTTCTATTAGAAATAAAACGTACATCAATAGGCAAATGTATAAAAGAATTGAAAAAGATAAACTCATTTCCAAATATTTGTGTTCTATTAACCTTGTTCCTATCATTTGTAACAAGAATCCTCATAAAGCAAACAACTGGACTTGTATGACCACGCTTTCAATTAGATTTACTTTCATCAGCCTATATGAAAAAATCATTACAAATCTAGTATGTGTGGATGCATGTATGAACTTTTGTGTGAATATTCATCTTACTGGATTTAAGCTAACTTAAAAGCAGAAGATAATACTGGCTATCAATTTCTTGAGCAATCCAAGATTGCCTTCGTTGTTTCGTTGATTCTTTTGGTCATCAGTTAACTTCCTCATTGCTAATTCATGGCGACTGACACCTTTTATACCAAGAATGAAATTCTGATCTGAAATTCCAGATTTCCCTCTTTGGGCAGGGAATTTTACCCACAGAAATGGCAGATCGTGTAATAGTTCACCTCAAGACTCGGGTCTGCAGATGGAGCCATGGTTGGTTCTCTCTTGAGCTTGCTGCCTGCTTACTCACACTCTGTACTTGAAGCCTGGAGTATGCTATTTAGAGAATTAGATTACCCTGGTGTCTGTATGCTTTTATAGCATTTGAGACAAACAGCAAATGTTTTCATCAATATTTTAATAACAGCTCCAGCAGAAACAGGGTATCTGCCTCTTTAATTCCCTTCCAATGTTTCCTGAATGCCTAAGCGTGGGAACCTGAAAAATCTCTAAAGTGAACACCCGTGACCCTGTTTAGCCTATTGTTACTGCCCAAGATGACAGAAGTTGTAACACAAAGCGAGAAGAGACGTTTACTGTTACCTTGCATATTAAGAGGAAAAGCTCCTGTGAAGAAAACCGGCTGAAACGCTGGCACAGGCCCTGTACAGGAGCCGTTCTCTTGCTGAGGTACGGCCTGATTGGATCCGGCTGGCAAAGGGGGGTTTCTGCTCCAAGACACAGACCCCTGGTACAGCGGACCCCTCTGAAGGGCAGGTTTTGAGCAGGGTGGTACAGAGCACCCCCTGGGCAGCGACGGGAGCATCCCTCCATTGTCAGCCACCCTGGGAGCGGCATTCCCGTGCTGGAATGGGACACGGGCGTAAGTCTCCACATCAGGTAGGGAGGAGGAGTCGGTATCTCGCGGTTCCAAGTGTGAGATGCTGCCGTTCACAGAGGGATCTGGGATGCTGTCACTCATGGTGTTATAAACATACGGGAAAGGTGGGTTAGCCAGATAATTAGGGATGATTGGCAGATATGAATCTTTCTTTAAGTCTGGGAGTTCATCATCTTCCACTGCAAAACAAACAAAACAACATTCTCCAAGACTGATCTGAGGAAAAAAAAGAAGTATTGCTACTGCACTGTGGGTTTATTCCCCCCCCCCTTTATTTTTTTTTTTTAAGGGGAGGGAGTGGAGTGTTACAAGCATCACAGGATAAACGATGAATCAAGAATCACAGAATATTAGGAGTTGGAAGGGACCTCGAAAGATCACCCAGTCCAACCCCTGCCAGAGCAGGATCACCTAGACTGGGTCACACAGGAACACGTCCAGGCGGGTTTTGAATGTCTGCAGAGAAGGAGACTCCACAACCTCTCTGGGCAGCCTGGGCCAGGGCTCTGTAACCCTTACAGTGAAAAGGTTTTTCCTTATGTTCAGATTGAACCTCCTATGCTCCAGCTTGCTCCCATTGCCCCTTGTCCTGTCATTGGCTGTCACTGAGAAGAGCCTGGCTCCTTCCTCCCTTGTGGCCAAGAAGGCCAATGGCATCCTGGGGTGTATCAGAAGGGGGTGGTTGTAGGTCAGAGAGGTTCTCCTTCCCCTCTGCTCTGCCCTGGTGAGACTGCATTTGGAATATTGTGTTCAGTTCTGGGCCCCTCAGTTCAAGAAGGACAGGGAATTGCTTGAAAGAGTCCAGCGCAGGGCCACAAGGATGATCAAGGGAGTGCAGCATCTCCCTTTTGAGGAGCGGCTGAGGGAGCTGGGTCTCTTTAGCTTGGAGAAGAGGAGACTGAGGGGAGACCTCATTAATGTTTATAAATTTGCAAAGGGTGAGTGTCAGGAGGAAGGAGCCAGGCTCTTCTCAGTGATACGCCTTTTTTCTACAGTAAACAGAACCGTCCTCAGGTGCTGCAATACAGAAAACACAAAGGGAGAATCTGATTCTGGTAATTCTGGGGGTGCTATTTCCTTCTGAACACTGCAACGCTTTTGGTTTGGTTTGTTTTAATCTGTTGCCAGCATGTTGCAACATGGCCTCTGGTGGTATAATGCTATAGTGTTCATAATGCATAAGGCAATGAAAAACAACGGGTAATACGCTGTTCGATGTTAAGGCAGGGGATAAAGGGAAAAGAACATGCAGTACTGGGAGAGCTGAAACATTACCAATTCAACAGCTGGGAGACAATAATGAAAACAAAAACAGACAAGGGAATACAAAGGGGAGGAAAGAGGTTGTTAATCGACCACATTTCAAATTACTTATCACCTCCAGCAGCAAAGCCTACTCTGCTCCAACAGTTACAGAACACAACAAAAATGCTCTACTGATGTCCTTTAATGAGCTGTCTCTCTGGGCTGCTAATTTTGGATTTATTCAACACAGTGTCTAAGCTCCGTAGACATCAGGAAAATTGGGCATTGCTCATACCAGGGCTTCATACAAATTTTAGAGATTTTCTCCAGTTGCCCTTTTGAAAATAGGAAGCTGCAGCCATCTGCCACCGATTTAATCATGGCATTTTTCAAAATACAGGGTTTTATTAAACTGTCAGTGGTTCCTGGCTAACTACATATGGAATTTGTTGGTAATCCTCTTTTCTTAAACTTTCTTACCAGAGAAAGTTGGTAGAAACTTAGTCGAGAAATCAAGTTACCACTGTTACTAAAACCCAAACACTGGATCTTCACATGCAAAATCAAGATTGGCTTTAAACAGCTTTTTGCTACGTTCCTTGACGATCGTATAGCACAGCCAAGAGGTTACCTCCCAACATCTTCCTGATCTCTCTCTTGGACGTGAGCTGGGCCGGCCGCTCTCCTTTCTTCGTGAGGATCTCCTTGTCTGCGCCGGCGTGAAGCAGGTACGCCACCACCGCAGCGTGGTTGCGCTTACACGCCCAGTGCAAGCAGGTCCTGCGCATGGAACAATGTTAACACTGTTTGACATCCTAAACCACGGCAGATTCGTTTCCCCTCATTCTCGCTGCCTATGTGAAGAACAAGACCTAATGCATGTCCAACATGAAAAAGGTTTTCATTGCAATCTTCCCTGGAAATTTGCACTGGTTTTGGAGCCTGCAGTGACACCTGCTGATGTAATTTTTCCCTTGCTCGAATGCTCCTGATGCCAAGCTCCACAGTCGTATTTTTAAACTTCAAGATCTTCTCAATTTGTCATATATTAGGCTACTAACTTTTCTGGAAAAATAAATATTAAACGAGAGCTCGTGTATGCTATTTTAATCTTTGAAATAATAAGTTGTACTTGAAATAGTTGTATGTGCGTATAGATGTGAGCTAATAGGGATACTTCCCCAGGATGCTATTTTTACTCTTTAGTTAATGCTGTCTACACAATGAGTTGCACTTTTTGGAAAGGAAATCATGTTTAAAATATTGTAAGCTTGGTTTCTAAGCATATTTCTTTGCCCAGTTCCTGGTCACTGCACCAGCAATTCCCAAGTGTTGATCTGTAGACAGCTACTTTTCTGTAAGCTGTAACTGATGCCCAGAAGTCGTCACTTTTCGATTTTTAAAAAATTATTATCTGCAGTTGCTGACCTAGAGAGACATAATAAAGAAACATCCTAAATTAGACCTGATTGAAGAGACATGACTGTAAATGTATGTATACATATTAGCTTTCTTCATAGACTATCCTAGGAAGGGTGCTACAAAATCTGTTTCGGAGGTGATACTGCTAGCAGTATTGTAAAATCCTGTATTCTCCAAGGTTTTGGCTGTGCATTTCAGCTACAAAGTGCCATTTTTAAATGGGATAAAACAATTCTATCAGCAGAAATTATTCCTGAATTTTTAACAGCAAAGATCCCACAGAATCTGAGAGAAGCTCCAGGAATCTCAGACCAGGTTTGTTTGGTTTTCCTGTGCAGTTTTCTGGACTTTTCACAAATACTGCTCATGAAATGAGTGTGAGCAGCCTGTGTGAATTCCAAAGCAGCACATTGCCAAGTCATAAACTAGTGTGGACCAGAGTGGTGGAGAAAAGCGCAGACAGCGTGGCTGTGTTTGCTTTGAGTGCAAAACCTGCAGGTTTATTTTGCAGAGGAGTGTGAGCCTCAATAGCATTGGCCTTATTTTGGGATCCATCCTGACCATTTCACGTGGTCTCATCGGGAGAGGTATCATCTACACATGGACCTGACAAGCATCAAAATGTAAGTACTCAGCATCTCTTGGCATCAGAGATACAGAGAAACTCATTGGAGAAATTTAAATTCTACAAGCAAATTTAAATAACAGCAAAGATACATTTATTGCTGCTGTTAAAAATGACCAGGTCATTACTTTTAAAAATAATTCTATTTTATGACATTTCTTTAATCAATTCCCATTTTAGATACAAACTCATTCTGAAGACAAGCAGCTGTTTATCTTACAAAGATAATTCAATGTCTTATGAATCAGCTGTCTTGAATTTTTACAAGTTCTAATTTTAATCACCACACTTTGAACCTCAAGTTGCAAGTATCCCACGCTTCTCAAAATTGCTGATCGAGATTTCATCTTTAAACGTCTAGCTCTTTCCTATTTTTATTCCTCTTCTTTTTAATTGAAACTTCACGCGCAATACAGCACAGTGAATACAGGCTGAATTTAACTCGGGGAAAACAGTCTGCAAAAATGCCTGAGCATTCCTTGTAAATCGTGTTTTAAATAACATTTTGTGAGTGTGTGTTTGTGCAGAGTCCCCCTTGTACGAGTGCCTATAACAAAAAAGTCTTGGTTTTAGTGTCCTCAGGGGGTACCTGAATGAGCTGTCAAAACCAAAGCGCTTATATATATGTACACACACCACTGAAACAGCCTGCACTTTCCCTGCTCGAAAGGGAAAGTAATTTAAAAACCTGATTTAGGAGTTAATAAGTATGTCCAGTTAAACAAGCTGAGATTTGCCTTTTGACTGCCTGTGCTGTCACAGGCTGCCAGCACAACCTTCCAAAAAAAGAGAGCAGTATAAAGTAAGAGCAGAGTGACCTGGAGCAGTAACCACCGCAGGAGCCAAGCAGGAGCTGGGATGGGGACGCGTTTGTAACAGCGGTTATCAGCAGCACCATTTCTTGCTCCTTGGAAGACAGGTACCTACATAGAGGAGTATTTGGCTGCAGATCGACTTTTTAATTTCATTCTAAATTCAAACCGATTTGTTTTTCACGTGAATGAGTGAACCCACGGCAGCGTCAGCTCTGGAAAACCCGAGGAGCAATTCCCGTTAGAGCAGCGGGGGCCGGCGGCCCCGGCTCGCCC